TGACTTTAACCCTCCTGACCATTTTAATTTCCCCTGATCATTTAAACTGATCCTGACCATTTCAACTCTCGCAGATAATTTTAACTCCCCCTGACAGTAACGCCCCCTGACCATTTTAATCCCCCCTGACCATTTTAACCCCCCCTGACCATTTTAACCCCCCAGGCCTCGTCCAGGACTCACCAACCATGTGTTTCCGCACGTGGGCCATGGTGTAGAACTTCTTCTCGCAGATCTCACACGAGAATTTCTTCTCGGCGTAGCCGTGCACGATCTTGATGTGCTCGTGGAGGGACCAGAGCTTCTTGAAGGATTTGTTGCAGGACACGCACTGGGGTGGACACAGAGCACAGAGGGGACTGGGGTTAGGCCTGGCCTAGGGGGTTAAGCTGGGGTTTGGTTTAAAAAGGTCCCAAAGGTGCCTGAGAATGAGAATTTGGGGATTTAGAGAGGAGGGGAGGCTCCGGCGCCTCCTGATCCCCCAAAATCCAACAGCACGGGAGCTGCACAGGGACAGACCCATAACACAAACCCTTGGAGAGGGAAAGAATTCAAACCCTTGGAGAGGAAAAATCCAAACCCCTGGAGAGGAAAAATCCAAACCCTTGGAGAGAGAAAATTTAAACCCTTGGAAGGCAAGGAATCCAAACCCTTGGAGAGGGAAGATCCAAACTCTTGGAAGGCAAAGAATCCAAACCCTTGGAGAGGGAAAATCCAAACCCCTGGAGAAGGAAGGATCCAAACTCTTGGAGTGAGAAAATCTAAACTCTTGGAGAAGGAAGGATCCAAACTCTTGGAGAGGGAAAATCCAAACCCCTGGAGAGGGAAGGATCCAAACTCTTGGAAGGCAAAGAATCCAAACCCTTGGAGAGGGAAGGGTCCAGACCCTTGGAGAAGGAAGGATCCGAACTCTTGGAGTGAGAAAATCTAAACTCTTGGAGAAGGAAGGATCCAAATCCTTGGAGAGGGAATGATCCAGAGCCTTGGAATGCAAAAATCCAAACATTTTCAGTGGGAAGGATCCAAACTCGTTGAGAGGGAAGAATCCAAATACACGGTGCAGAAAAAATCTGAACCCTTGGAGTAGAAAGGATCCAAACATTTTGAGTGAGAAGGATCCAAACCCTTGGAGAGACAGGAATCTGAACACCTGGAAAGGGAAAATCCAAACTCCTGGAGAGGGAAGGACCCAACAGAGCTGGAGGACGCTGACACCATTAAATTCCCAAAACCCCATCCAGCCCTTCCTGCCCCCCCAAATCCAGGTGTGGCCAGTCCAGGCTCTCCCATCCTGCTGGATC